AAAAAAAATTAATTGTACATAGAAAATACTACAACATTTTAAAATATATTTATTTATCAAACACAACTTATTAACAATAAACAATGATAACGAAGACATATTATTGATTGGTAGAGAACTCTATATCTAATTATAAATTAATAGCCAACAGTATGTACCGTATACAGTAATGCATGCAAATTTTGTACTTAAAAAAATATATAGTAAAACAGTATACGTAAATGGAAATAACATTGTCTTACACAGAGATTTCTGATATTTTGATTTGTTTGAAAAGGTAAGATGTGAGTTAAAAAGAATGAAAGATTTGAAAGATGCGTATAAGAAAAGAAAAAGTTAGAGTGTGGTCCCACAGAAGTCTGGGGCTTTTACTGTTCATACCTCCAATCAGGAACATAAAAGTTTGAAGAAGCATTGTTGCCTCTTCTGAGTTTTTGTCCTATTCCCAACAGCCCAGAGAAAGACTCAAAGAAAAGAAGATACAGCAGAAATATAACGACTCTCTGTGGTTTATTGAACTAATTATTTAGGTAAGGACTAAGAAGAAGAAGGGAGTGTTCAGATATTTTGATTAGAAGCAACTTATAAAAAGAAATGAGTAAAATAATGTCAGAAAAAAGAGAGCATTGAAATTGAAAGTAGAAGTTTAGAATATTGTAAGGATATTTGGGCAATAGAATGAAGAGCATTGAATTTTAGAGACCCATATGGCTGTATTTAATTTGAGGAAATTAAAAGGCCATGTGAGAGTCTGTGATGACTTACACCATGATGCCCTACTCAGGACCAAAACAAAACAAACAACACATGATATCTCTAGTACTCCTAAAAATGTTGCACAGTTTTCTAGCACTAGGACAAAATTTAATGAACCCCCCAAACAAAATACTACAAACAAATACAAAGAAACCTAATTAAAACAAACTAGTCACCACTAATAATTTACATTATGCTGCAGCTCTCCGTGTTCTCGTCGCTGAAAACATGCGTCATAGGATCCGCCATCGGGTGTGACGGCATTGGTGGCGGTGGAAAGTAGTTCATCGACGGTGCCCTTCCGTACATCATATGCGGTGGGTACATACCCATGTTCGCTTGCTGCTGCTGCTGTTGGTTCATCATCATGGCCATCAATTGTTGTTGTTGCTGCTGTTGTTGGATGCTGTAAGGGTTTTGCTGTTGCATATGCATCGGCATCCCTTGCATCCCTTGATAGTAGCCACCGTTCATCGCCGCCGCGGCTGCCGCTGCCGGTAATCCTTGCACCGCCGGGATGTTCATGTTCATGTTCCTCATATGGTCCATTTGACCCATCTGATTCGTTGGGCCTCGCTGACCCATGGGGCCCATCTGGTGACTCATTGGACCCATGTGACCCACATTACCATTATTGGCACCGTGACCCTTGCCATTACTGTTTTTACCATTATTGCTGCCCTTGCCATTTTTACCTTGGGGAGAGATATCGAAATCTTGAAAGTCAAAGTCAATTTTGTCCATTTTACCTCCTCCGTTTTTCTTTCCTTTGCCGCTGCTGTTGTTGTTTCCACCTCTGTTGTCTTTATTCTTGGTTGCTGTTGTGTCGGCCGAACCTCCTCCCTTCTTGTTCTTTTTCCCAAGGCCGAGAAACCGAACAAGGAAGCCACCACCATTTTTGGCTTTGGAGCTCTTTTTCTTGTTACCATGGTTATGATTGTTATCTCCCCCACCGCCACCACCCTTTTGCTTTCCACCTTTGTTCTTTTGACCACCATCTCCATTGCCTTTTTTCCCTCCATTTCCATTTTTACCCTCGTTGAAGTTTCCACCTTTGCCTTTCATCTGTATGGGTAGATCGATGACCTCACCCTTCTTCACACTCCCAAAATTCCCACCCCCATTCCCTTTATGGCTGTTCATCCCAGGCCCATTCATCATTCCGCCAGGCCCATGAGGCCCACGCCCGTTCCCCATCTGGCCCATCTGGCCCATCTGGCTCATCATCTTGTTGTGTTGCATAGGATGCCCCTGTCCCTGCCCCCGGCCATGGCCATTACCATGGCCGTGTCCATACAGTTCCTCCTCATCCTCTTCGTCAAAATCATCATAATCGTCTTCAAACTCATCGTAGTCATCATCAAATTCATCAAAATCTTCATCGCTTTCATCAAGTTCATCCTCTGATAAGTTGAAGTTGACAGATTTCTGATTCTTGGGGGGTACTTTTGACCCTTCCTTCATATTTTGGAAGTGTGCTAGTTGACCACCACCTCCACCGCCTCCGCCTCCGCCTCCTCCACCTTTCTGAGGAGCACCACCCTTGTGATTGTGAGACTTGTTGTCCTTGCCTCCTTTGGTGTTATCTATGTGCAAGTTCTTGAACTGAGGGTAGGTGGGGTAGTTTTGGTTGTACATCATGCCTCTCTGCCCACCCCAAACTTCGGCATGCTTCCCTGACCTCTTCAGCTTTTTTATCAGCTTCGCTGGATCTATGTGCCCTGACACCATTACCTTCCCCCGCTCCGCATCTATGTTCACGGAATACACTCCTGCACACCAATAACTCACTATGCTTAACGACAAACTTAAATAATACTCTCCAAAACTAAACTGTCGAATCTCAAATCTAATTATCTTTGCTTGCAAATACAGAAACCATCCTACCCAATAAAGAAAAGTTCCAATCTATGTACCAAGAAAAAAAAAATAAAAAAGTAAACTTGGAAGCTACATACCAAGAGAAAGAGAGTAAAGTTGGAAGCTTGATGTATAACATCAAAATAAAGTGGATAAATTAGGCGACAGGATAAAGTTGAGTAATGAAGCTAATTAGCATCGCATGAGAATTTGAAAAAAAGAAAAGGCAAAATGGTGGGTGCTAGAGATGTACCATCAATTTTCTGCAGGATTTTCTTTACTTTCTGTTCACAGCCATCGCAGTGGATATTCACCTTGAGAAGGCAATTCTACACGGGGGAATAAAAACACAACATAGATCAGTTATCACAAGTTTAGGGAACAGTACATCTTAAGCAGAATAACAAACAGGTTTGTCTTTTGAACTAGTTTAATTAAGCTATGAACAAAAGAGTGAAAGCAGTAACAAGTGTGCACCTGAACTTTGAGCATGTCTTGTTTACTCATCCTGGTTGGATAGGTGGTGGTTCACACACACAGCACAGATATGTGAGTGGAGAAGTAGAGAACAGACAGTGAGAGTAGTGTTTTGAGAATTGTTTTTTTAGAGAGAGGAAAGGTTATTGTTGGTACGCATTGGACACTTCTATATTTGTTCCTTTCCTCAAGTATCCGTACTGTTTAGGCTCAAACACACGTACAAGAACAGCAAAGTCACATTTTAGAGAGAAAGAAAGAAGAGAAGAGAGAAGGTGATTTTCGAACCAGGGTAGATAGCTTCCTATGACTGTGAGTTGGCTTTATGTTTTATGCTTTATAATATATATATATATATATATATATATATATATATAAATAAGAAACTCGTGAACCTTTCAAAGTGGTCTCACACTGACAGCTTAATACTGCCATGCCTCACCTAAAAAATTAGGACCAAACTATCTTTTTAATCTGTTTTCCTTTTCATAAAATGACACACTGACTTACTTTGACCCCCTTCTTTTACCCTATTCAGCCCATTAGCTTCTGGGCCGGCCCTGTTAAATTGGGCATGCAAAAATGTATATATTTTATGTA